TGTGATATTTTAAATTTCGAAGAAATCACAATCATACTTAACGTCTATTAGATACTTGGTATCTATTAGATGCTGCACAAAGTACCGCTGGAATTGAGTTCACAGTTTCAACATTAAGTTACACTACAAGCCTCTCAATGACCTCATATTTTGGGGAAGCTGGGTTTTTAGTGGTTGCCAAGATAAGAAACAATCACTGTGTGAAAAGTCACTGAGTAAAGGAAATGAGAGTAGTCATTTCCAAATTGATTTCAAAACATGCGGAGTTGTGCAGGGCCCCATAGACACACATATCTCCCATTAGTAAGCAGCCCTCTATTTAAGAATGAAAACACATTACATTATTTTAATTTATGTTGAAATCATTTTTTTCAAATGGCAATTAAACTTTAAGGACATAAGTGCTTATAAAGTTATTTGTACCCAACTCCTTGATAAATGGCAGCGTTTTTTGGCTATGATTTGGCCTCCAAGTCATCATGACATGTCTGCCCTGGGGCCATATCTAACTGGGAATCACATTTTGTTCATGTAAGAAGAGTTTGTTTCATTGGGTTAATCATGTGAGCTTTTTAATTGGAATTGAAATTTTTGATTTGAAAGATATTTTTTCAGTGAAAGATATCTGGGGAACCTATATTAGAAATAGTTACAGAAAGAGGATTTAATGAAATCTCGTGTGCATAGGCAGGCATACACTGCCTGTATTTTACAGAACTCTGTGAACTATTCTGCTTTGTCCCAGCTTAGCATGGACAACTGAGTTCCTCCTAGATAGGAAAGTAGGAGGGAGGGTGGGAAGTGACATATAGGCCCATAAAGGAAAGAAGAGAGGGGACACTTACTAGCATAAATCAGAAATATGTATATATTCTATTTTATTGTAGTAGTTGTAGCTCTACTAAAATCATTACTAGGAAAACTATCGAATAATGCAGAAAACGTTAGAACAATAGAATATTCATTTCTAAATGCAAAAACTGTATGTTTAATATAACCACATAATTTTAAATAAGATTCTGAAAAATGACCAGGAGGGAAATATACTGCAATGCTAACTATATTTATGCTATGCAAACTGTGATTTTGTTCTTTCATCCTTCTTCTCAAGCTTTCTTAAGTTCACCTTTTATTTTGACTAAAGAAAATAATAAATATCATATAAAAGTGTACTGAATCCATTATTCAGATATTCATGAAATCTCTTAAAATGAATAGGAGATTTATTGTTCTAGCCACATAGTTTGTTCCTCAAACCCTACAGCCCAGGGTAGCTCTTCCAAATTGGGGTCCATGTTAGAGTCACACATGACACAATTGAGAGGGTCTGATTCTGTGGCACTGGAAGGAACTCGAGTGCCCACATGTGATTCTGTCCTACACCCTCCCCATTCTCAACTCAGAGTCTCCCCACCTTGAAACACCTACAGCCTTTCCCTATGCCCATACTGGTATGTTTTTTGGTTACCTTTGTCGCTTCCCTAATTCAAATTACTATTCCAAATTCAAATCTAGACACAAGTAAAATCACACGTTCAAAGGACATAGACACCTTTCTTTCAGACTCCTATTTACTTTCACTGAATTCTGTCTATAATCTCCCTCAGTTTCATTCTTTGAGTCCGTGATGACGCCACTTCTGTCTGAGATCGTTATGTTACTGTATGTCCATTCTCTTCGCCATCTTCCTTTCCTCCTTGAATGACCCCTTAAAAGTTTAAAAGGTAAAGTATGTGAATGTTCTCTCTCTCTCTTTTTTTCTCCCCTTCTCTTTCTTTCCATCATAGCCTCTTCTCAGGAAAGCCTTCGTGGTAATTCATGTGAGTTGCCTGCCATGGGAGGAATCTTACCAGAAAAGTGAACCTGAGAGAAAGGGGTTCTAACTGTGGAATGATCGGCACCAGCCAATATGTAGAAGGGATGTACTTCTGGTTCTGTTTCTACGTGGGGATTTTAGGGGCTGAACCTCCGAACCCTCTGAAAACCTCATTGTCACACATGGGTGATATGCTCAGGAATTTTGTTGACTCTTCAAAATAATTACTGAGATGTTCAATTTAATCCTTTAACATCTAGACCACACTTGAATGAAAATTCCATTTCCTGGCATTTAATCTATATTTTCCTTATCATCACTGAGTAATTCTCTCAGTACTATTAAGTAAAAGCAAATATTAGAAAGTGTGATACTCTTCTAGCCATTTTGTCCTCTGGCATTTTAAAATTTTCTTCTCTTTTGTGGCAGTATAAAAAATAGCTCTAATAAAGGTTTTGACCGATTCATTCATCTTGTTCTTGGCTAACACATCAAATCTGATAAAGAAATTGTGTTGTTTGGAGATGCCAATTACTTAATTAAGTTTGCCTGTCACAGGGAAGGCATACAGAAAATGTAAATATTGCCTTCTGTTGAGTGGATTATATATTGTATCCTAGGTATAATACTAAGATTATATCTAGATAAGTGTAGCAGAGAAAATACGAATGAGGAATACAGTTCCATAAAGTAGGGCTACATTTATCAAACCGTGGTGTTAGGCTTCCCAGTATCAAGGACACCTGAGGTCCCTGATAGTAATGAAGATTTCAAGACCCCCTGTAGGTCCGAAGCCATGGAAACTCTTAGGAGAGAGAGAGCTGGCATCTGCAACATTAGTAAGCTTCCCAGATCATGTGAATGTGTATCTAGTTTTGACCAGTGCTCATCTAGGGGGGTGTCCTGCTAATACACCAATAAATAAGGGAGCAAATAAATGAATAAGGGATAATGGCAGAGGGCGTGAAAAAGAATACCTGAATTATCCCAACGTTTTCTGTTCTTCAGAAATTGCTGAGTAATTCATTTCCCATTGCTCCCACAGATTTAATGTTACAGTACCTCTTGTTTCCATAGAGATTTTTAGGTATAAATTATCCAACATCAATTCTTGGTGATACATCTCTTCACCTAATTAATTTTTGAGTTAGAAGTCACTAACGAGAAGTTACTTCCTATAGGAAATAGTCCCGCACCAAGCCTAGCAGGTCTAATATCTCTGTCAGAGAGCAGTGAGCCCCCTGCGTCTCTCTTCAACACATAATATTTTCGGTTTTACATTTTGTGTGACGATTTCACTACCTGATGAACACCTCTCTTCCCAACTTCAAACCCCAAGGGAAACAAAATCCAACAACAGTAACTTTTTAGTGCTTTTTGTGTACAAACAAGAGAATTGAAATGGAAAAGAAATTACCACTTTGCTTCATTTCCCCTTGATAAGAGGCCTGGATATTAAGCCATCTGCTGCTTGTTCATTTGATCGATGTAGAGAGAACCTTGTATCTTAAAGTCTGAATATTCAGGTTAAACTCTGGATAAATTGTCATTGATATTTAGCAATCCTGATTTAGGTTATTTAAATTAATTTCTGGGTGAACTGTGCATGGAATGTTTATGTACATTTTCTCAATTCCTAAACTGTTTACTCTTTTGTACAGTAGCACAAGTTGCAGGGATTTAATTTAAAAATCACAAAAGAGCATCTAAGGAAGGAACAAGAATATAGGACAAGCATCCTCATTTGATTTAGCTTGATCTGTCCCTTCCTCCCCAATTGGAAACAGGGGCAAGGTAAGGCCAAAAAATAACAGGAAAGTGGCAGTGAACCTGTTGCCTGTTTGTTCTTGAGTATTCTCTCCTTTATTTAATCTACTTCATGACTACAAAATATGTCATCAACATGTTGCTTTTCTTAAAAATTTAAAACTCTGAAGAGCCATGTTCTCGACCCTTTCACTCAAAGGGTGTCATACTTTGACAATGGGCATCTAAGCCACCCGCAAGGACTAGAATCTGTAATCTATTTAGTACTTTCCCTCTTAGGAGCACTACAAAGATGGCTTTTTCTATGACTTGAAATATGGATTTTCAAGATGTTTATTTGAATTCAAACATATCCTGTGAAATTTTTGTATAAAGTAAATAGTAATTACTTTATGCTCTGAAAAGGATTCTTTGCTTAACAAAATATTTGCTACAGAATCAGTGAAAGTGAACCACATTATCTGATTTATAAAAAATTGAATTAACAGGAAAAAGACATATGTTAAAGATAAGGGCAACAGCAACATGGGTTGTGTGGTAGTTTATGAGCAACTAGGACTGAACACAGATTTTTTATTCATTTTGTACTTCACTGACCAACAACTTTGTGGCATGAATTTACTGTGTGCATATGATGGCTATCTAATCTTTCACGATGCTGCTGTAAACAGAGATTAATGAGATTGGGCCTAAATCATGCAAAAGCCTACAATCTGGTGCCCAAGAGACAAATTATTGAAGTTAATTATATCACAAGGTGGTAAGTCCTATGACAGATATGTGATTCATAGAGATGGTTTTATTTGTATCCTGCAGCTGAATAGCTTACTATCTGATGGAGGCTGGGATAGAGGGTGGCAATTCTAAGCAGAAACAGTAGCAAGCCTACTGAGATATGAAAGGATCTGATGTGAAGAACCAGCTGCAGGGTTTAGGATGCTTTTTGCAAGAGCGACTGGGAAATAATACTGGGAGATACATAATGGCCAGATAATTGAAGGTGTTGTACTCTACTCTAGATAGTTGCATTTTATTGTATTGGTAATCCATAGTCACCAAGGGGTTTAAAGCGTGGGAAGAGTGTTTAGTTTTGTTTTGTTTTTTGAGTTTGGTTAAGAATATTCTGGTAGTGATGAGAGAATTTTTTGGGAGTGGGGTATAACTTAGAGCAGTGATTTACAATCAAGACAGATTGTAATAAAAGCATTACATGAAGAGTTTCAAAATACTCTTGTTCCCACCCCAACCTTAAAAAAATCACATAGGACTATGTTCTATATTTTTTAAAAGCCCCCTTATTAGTTACATATTGCTATATAACAAATTACCACAAACTTTTCAGCTAAAATAGTAAACATCTCAGAGTTTCTGTGGGTCAGGAACTGTAAGGCACTTTAACCAGGTTTTCTGCTTTCAGATCTCTCACAAGGCTACAATCAAGATGGTGGCTAAGACTAGGGCCTCCTCTGAGGCTCTCCTGGGGCAGGATCTGCTTCTAAGCTCGGATGGCTGTGAGCGGGATTTGGTTCCTTGTGGGTTGTTGGACTGAGAGCCTAGCTTCTTGCTAGCTGTTGCCTGGAAGACCCACCCCTTCTCTTCTTATATGGCTCTCCCTACAAGGAGGCTTACTTCATCAAAGCCAGCAAGGGAGAGAGTCTACTAGCAAGACGAAGTTACAGTTTTATATAACATAATCTTGAAGGAGACTTCCCATCACCGTGCCTTCCTCTATTGGTAAGAAATAATCCACATGGTGCCCACACAAAAGCTTGAATGCTAGGATTGAGGGAAAATTAGGGGACACCTTTGAGTCTGTCTTATGACACACTCCATGTGATTCTGATAGTCATTTGGGTTTGAAAACACTCACCCAGAGACTTTAGGGAATACATACAAAAAATGGGAAGGATGAAACTTCAAGGACAGATCTCAAAAACTTTGGAAAAGAAATATCTACAAGAGCAGGTGATTATAGAGGTATTGGTGTTGTTAGGGAGGGGATAGCTTGATTATCAAGCCTTGAACTTGGTGATTGAGTATATAATGATGGCTTTAGCAAAAATAAGAAGTCAAAAAAGAAACCCATTTTGAAAGAATGACAATGGAGTTAGTTTTAGATCTGTTAGAGTTGATGTGCATATAAGGTATATTATGAAAAAGTATTTACAACTGTGAAATATGGCAAAAAAAAAAGAAAGAAAAAAAAGTGAGTACCATGTGTTTTCAGAGATATGGAGTAGCATTGTTTAGCAGATCCTCTAAAGGTTTATTTTATTATCTCAGAAAATGCTCTTTGTTCAACTCACTCTTACAACTGATTAAAGTTTCCAGACTTAGTGAGGTTACACGTTAACTTATATATTTTTGACCAATAGAGTCGCAAATGATTTTCTGGTATAAGAGATAACCCGAAGTTTACAGTTTATTTTGTTGTAGGACATTAAGCACTTTGATAACTAAATTAACAATCTTATGTTAATACTTCTTCATCAAGTTGAATATAAATAACTATATCCTCAAATGCTTTCTGAATCACACCTATCATCTCACTGTTTCTGTCATCTTTTAATAAGTTGAATAAAATATTTGACACGTGCTCACTTCAGTAGCACATATACTAAAATATTTGACACGTGTTGTTTATATCTGTGTGAGTCATAACTCTGTACTAACCAACCAAGAGGTTTCTCACTCTCTCTCCCTCCCTCCCCTTCTCTCCTTCTGAAATTATTTTAACTTGCAATCAAACTTTACCTTTGCTGACTCTCTGATTCACTAGGTTTTATTATTTATAATGATTTCTTGTTTGTTTCTGGTTCGTATCTTTTTTAGATTCTGGTTCCAGTTGGTACATAGCAAGAGTTTTTCCTCAAAAAAAAAAAAAAAAAATGGCAACAATGACCAGAAAACTGGTTTTATGTTCTGGCCATTTGACGATCCCTCCAAAGATGGTAAAGGATCTATTCTCTGTTGCAATGATAAGTGACAGGGAATTCACTTTCTTATTATTTTGTGATCATTTCTCTTTTTCTGTACACAAATCAATTAAGGAATCATTCTGTGCCCACTAGAGTGGAAGCCATCTTTTTGAGGTCTGGAATAGTGAATTTTTGTGTTTCGGTGTTTACTTTATCCTAGCTGAGTTTATGAAAATGAGGTTGCAAGCTGTGTGCCCACATATCTGTAATAAAGCAAAGCCTTTATCTTTTGTATGAGTGTAAAATATTTCCTATTCCCATTAGGTACTAATTAATTAGATTTCGAAGTTCCTCTGATTAAAGGAGCTTTGTTGTAACTGGTTTGTAGAGGCTAATAAGACTAATATAAATCTCATATTTCCCCGTGTTTGTACAAAATAAGGAAGGTGAACTCATATTCATGGAATTCATATTTCCATGTGCTAAGCTTTTAAGAAAAAATTTCCTTTTCACTGAGAGAGTGAAGTTATATTTTTATGTAAGACTCCAGGTTCATGTGATTACAGTAAATCCTGATACATATTGGATTACTTAAATAAATTTTATTTAAAAGCACCTCTATACGACTTTTCCTTGACGTGATTATCAGATCTGTGTTTGTTTTGATCCCAATTGATACTAGCTTATCTAAACTGCCTAGATTTCTTATACTGTTTTAGTGCTCAACTAACAAAATATTTATAATTATGGGTAAGGTAAAATCGTGTTACTCTAAACTGGATCACAGGGCTGACAAATTGTTTTGTATCAGCAGTAATCATGTTTTCTAATGTGTCAGCTTAAAATACAATATCCAAGATCCTTGGTTAACTTTACAACCTTGGACTAATATTAAACCTAGTTAATAAATAATCTTTGGATCCCTGGATAGCTTTTTTTATTTTTTTTAAGATTTTATTTATTTATTTGACAGAGAGAGAGAGATCACAGGTAGGCAGAGAGGCAGGCAGAGGGAGAGGGGGAAGCAAGCTCCCTGGCGAGCAGAGAGCCCAATGCAGGGCTCGATCCTAGGACCCTGAGATCATGACCTGAGCTGAAGACAGAGGCTTAACCCACTGAGCCACCCAGGCCCCCCTTGATAGCTTTTTAAGTAAGAAAGAACACTCATACCTGGCTCATGAAATGTACTTTTTATTATACATCACTTTTATCATTAGTCTACTATATTATAGAGTGGCTACCCTTCAGGTCTTGTTAATGAATATAGCCTGTTATTTTTGTCACTTTTCAGAGACATACAAATGATGTGTGAGGCTCTGGTGGGTGAGTTTTGTTTGTCTTCTCCATCACCGGTGTGTGATAAACAATCCTAGATTATGTATTTCCCAGTTAAATAGAAGTTAGCTAATTTGATTAAATGGTATAGTTTTTACGGATGATTTGAACCTATGGCAGGAGCATATATGTATATGAAACAGAAGTGTATGAAATATGAGGCTTTCTCTTGTTTGCAAAGGAAAAGTTTTGCCCTAAAATAAAGTGCAAGACTATCTGAAAAATATGAAAGAACATGGTGAAGGGCAAAACTTGATTTTGTACAGCAAGCTGAAGGTTTGAGAGAAATGAAATTTATGTGCTTTGGTTTATATTACCTGAGATACGAAAGATTTATGTTAAACTCTTGGCAAAGTTCACCCAGACTGATGGGCTTGTTCAGATGGTATTTTTTTAAGGAGCTTACAGTTTTTTTATCCCCAGACATTGCGTGAATGCATCTAGAACATGGTTTTCTTTCCAGTAGGATAACTTTGCTTAGAGTACTTAGTCTGCTCATAATAAGATACAGTAAATGATTTGTTTGCTTTACCTTCTATGCAATCCACCCAGATAACCGATAATCTGGAATATTTTATTTTGTGCTCCAGATTGACTGTTTCATGCCCTTGATTACTTAAGAAAACAACAGGAGATGAGACTTATTTGCATTATTAAAAAAGGATCTAGAAATAATTTAGTCTTTTGATTATGCCCCATGTTTCTTAATTAGCTCCAACAGTAGTTGTAAGATTTCCCTGAACAGAGTTGTTAAAGAATAATTTTGTACAGGTAAAATGTTACTAATATATATTTTTCAGAGATAAAAGATGAACTGGAAGCCATAGGTGTTTTAACAATCTCGCTGACCACATGTCTTCAGGTTCAGGGGAAACATCAAAGAAATTCTTATAAAAAATTATAGTAGCAGATTTGATCGTCTCCCCTTATGATATTGTTGGTTTGACAATAAATTAACTATCATCATTAGCTATGAGATTTACTTTGAGGCTTAAAGTGTTGATATAAACTCAGATTAGAATCTTTGTCTTTAGTCAAAACAATTTCTAAGCCTCCAGGAGAGGATCCTAATATATATTCAACAATTGCTACTTCAGGATATATGCTATCAAGGTGCCTGGGTGGCTCAGTCGGTTAAGTGTCTGCCTTTGGCTCAGATCATGGTCACAATTTCTAAGCCTCCAGGAGAGGATCCTAATGTATATTCAACAATTGCTACTTCAGGGTATATGCTAATAAGGTGCGTGGGTGGCTCGGTCGGTTAAGTGTCTGCCTTTGGCTCAGATCATGGTCACAGAGTCCTGGGTTCAAGCCCTGCATTGGGCTCCCTGCTCAGTGGGGAGCCTGCTTCTCCCTCTCCCTCTGTAGCTCCCCTTGATTGTGCTCACTCTCTCCATCAAATAAATGAATAGAATCTTAAAAAAAAAAAAAAGAATATGCTCTCGCATTCAGATTTCCAGGCTGATTTGCTTTGTTTGTCTTTGAGATTGTGCCAGGGAACTGAGTTAGGATTTCCAGAGCCTTTTTTTTTTTTTTTTTAAATGAAGAGGCACATAACTTCATGAGAGCAGAGGACTGACCCAAGATCTGGTGAGTCAAAAATAAATTGCACAGAACTGAAAAAAAAAACTGATAAATGATGTTTCATTTTGATTATTTATTTGGAATATTGCTGATACCATGTTTAATGTTTTTGTCTTCTAAGGAATACATGGAGAGGCCTTGTTTCCTTCTCCTTAAGCTTTTTCTAGCCCTCAATTTAGAAGACTATGTATTTGGAGACTGAATTTTAAACTAAATATTGGTAAAATGAAATATGTTTTTAAATGGTATCTGACAGGGAGCCTGGGTGGCTAAGTTGGTAAAGCATCTGCCTTTGATTCAGGTCATGATTCCAGAGTCTTAGGATCAAGTTGCACATCAGGCTCCCTACTCAGTGGAGAGTGACTTCTCCCTATTTTTCTGACCCTCCTCCCTACCTGTGTGCTCTCTCTCTCTCTCTCCCTATTTCAAATAAATAATAAAATTTTTTTTTAAAAAATGGTATCTGACTTTCACTGACCCCTCAGAATTCAGAAACAGATATTTTTATTAAGTCTCCTTACTTTTTAAGGCAATACAGTTATTTACATAGGCTTAATAACGATCTGTCCCACATTTTACCAGGGCACGATTGGACAAGTTGCTTCTTTAATGAAGGTCATCATACAGTACAACATTTAAGAATGGATCTCATTTATTCAGGTTTGGCAGGACTA